GCCTGCCAGGCCTCTGATTGCTGTCCCAGGGCTACCACCATGGAGCTACCACTGGCAGGGACACCGATGAAGGGCTTCTGGGTGCCATTGCTGGGGCTGCTGTTGCCTTCTTGGGCCTCCAGCCCTGCTACCTCTGTCCCCACTGAGCCAGCCAGGAATGGTGGTGGCATGTCATCCAGCCCACCTGGAGCAACAAGCAGTGCCTGCAGGCCTTCTGCATGACCCAGGCCACCTTCCAGGACCACCTCCAGCACATCCAGCCCCACCTGGAGTAGCAGGATACTGGCATGTGGCCTCTCCTTGCCTCCCCACTGTGGACATCCAGTTGGCCCTTGCCCTGCTTAAGCTGACCCCATACTGAACCCCTGCCAGCCTGCCGTATGTCAGCCACCTGTTTGGCATGGACAAAGCCACCACTGGGCAGGCCATCCTGGAGGCATGCTGTACCTTCCAGGACGTGCTCGGGGACACCATGTTCTGCATGCATCACTCCTAGGCAGTGATGGCAGGGTTCTATGCCCTGGGATTCCCTCAGTGCATCGGGGCCCTGGATGAGACCCACATCACTATCACCTGCCCACCCCATGGAGACCTCCCACTATTACAGCCAGAGGGGCTTTCACTCCATGGTGTTCCAGGCCATTGTGGACCACTGTGGGGCCTTCACATATATGAGCACCAGCTGGGTGGGCAGCACCCACAACACCTACACCTTCTGGAACTCTGGCCTGCCAGGCCTAATGAAAAGTAGCAGCTTTGCACCAGGGGTGCTGGACTTGTAGCTGGGTGCCATGGCCATCCTGCCCCTCCACATCAGGGACTCCATCTATCCACTCCTGCTCTGGCTCACGCAGCCTTATACTGGCCACCTGGACTCCCTCCAGGCCCACTTCAACCGCTGCCTGGGCTGGACGTCTACACTGGTGCAGTGCACTTTCAAACGCTGACCAACCACTTCCTCCAGCACTCCCCACTCTAGCTCGCCAGCACCACCACCCATAGACCCCTAACCCCACTTGCCCACCCCACTTGCTGGCCATGATACCACCAACAGCATCAGCTCATTCCTGGGGCTTGGTGGGGAAGCTGGGCTGGGCACCTGCACGCTGCTCCCTGAAGGCTGAGGACATTGGCTGCAGCTGCACGCTGTTGCCAGCAGGGAGATCTGTGCTGAACCACCAGCCATGCTAGCCCCAGCCACTTGGTAAGCCCTGCACTGGAAGGAGAGCCCTCCCCTCCCCGGCCCTTGCCTCTATCCTTGGCCCCTGCCCCTGCC